CTTACCGTGAAGTGTCGACCAGCAAAGGGCATGCTGCAGATAGGACAGGGTTTCCCAGCACGGGCTAGTGCTTGTGACTGTGACCCACGAGCACTGAACAGGTACCAGGAAACCCAGAGTCCTGAAGTGAGAAGGAGGAGAGGCACATTTCTTTGAAAGATGTGTGAGATGAGAATGAAAGTCCTCTCCAAGCACAGGCTAGTGCTAGTGACCATATGCACACCAGCACATAACAAGTACAAGGGAAGGTTGAGGAATGATATGGCTTGAATGGCAGGTGGTTGCAGCACAGAGGCGAAGAATAGTGATCCTACTGCACTCCCATCTCAGCACAGGCTAGTGCTAGTGCATGAAAAAGACTAGCACAGAACATGAACCGAGAGGATTGTGCAGTATTGTTGAGACAGCACTGTGTTCTTCTGAGGTAGTTGTGATGAACTGTGTCAGTGGGGAGGGTGAAATTCCCTTTTATAACTCTTGAGTGCTGTCATGTATGGAGAACTGTGATGACCTGAGAGCAAAAGATTGGGATGACACTGAGAATGAACAGTGAACAGTTAGGTAATGACTTAATGAGTCCAAGCCAATACACCTGAAAGGTAATTAGTGGTAGACAGGCAATACACCTGTGCAGTTATTGGAGTGTGACTGTTTGCAGTCCAAGCTCATTATGTAGAAGAAAATTGAAAAAGAGATGTGTATTGGCAAATGATAGTGGCTTAATAATTGAAAAGTATAGAGTAAATTAACATTGATGTATTATTTGAATAAGTTTAGGAAAAATATACTGACCTTATTGTTTGCTCTTTGCAGGGCTGCTGACAAGACATGGTTTCCCAGCACGGGCTAGTGCTGATGATTGTAACCCATGAGCACTTAGCAGGTACCAGGAAACCAAGAATCCTGCAGTGAAGGTAAGGCACTTTAATGTCTTAGATGTGAGTGATGGAAATGTAACTCCTGTCCCAGCACAGGCTAGTGCTAGTGACCAGATGCACACCAGCACATAGTAAGTACCAGGAAAGGAAAGGGAAGTCTGGATATGGTGAGTTGTCAGCTGCTGTGTACATTGCACTTACCGTGAAGTGTCGACCAGCAAAGGGCATGCTGCAGATAGGACAGGGTTTCCCAGCACGGGCTAGTGCTTGTGACTGTTGTTTTTGCTATTAGATACTTTTAATGTAGTTAATCAGGAAATCCACTGGAATTAGCTTTGGTAACATTTTATGTGAAATATAGTATATTTAAAAGATATAAAATCCCCTGCACTGAATATTCTGAATCGTAAGTATTTTAATTAATATATACAATATGTAGATTTTTATATTACCTAGAAATTTTGATTCCGTTATTAATATAGGAACACCAGCCCAATTAAATCTGAGATTGAGATTTGAATGTCCTTATACATTTGTAATGCAAGAAGTTTTGATGCGATGATTTGTTTTTTGCAAGTAATGCCCCCTTTTAATCATACTGTGTCTTATAAGTGCACCCTGCTATTCAGTTTGTGTTTAATTGTCAAGATTGAGGGAAACTTGGGGTATGAGAGGTTGATCACTTTTTCTTTCATTTATGATTAAAACATATTTGGAACACCAGACGAGTCCATGTACATGAAAATTTCAATCCATTTGTACAAAAAGAAGATTTGTGATAAACTCAGGAATATCATATTGTTTGTATATTGTTAAGTACTAGTATTGTTTGTAGTTTCAATGCTGTGTTTTTGATGCCTTGAAGGCTAACAGGGATCAAGCTCGTGACTTAAAATCAGAAACTACAGAGATTAACACGAGGTTAAACAAACCATAGATCATGTGTCTACTCATTGCTAAAACGCCTCTTTACCAATCAACTTTTTAACTGAAATGTTTTGTTTCATTTAATTTATTGTCGATTCTATTATAATTGACATATTACGCATACTTCAGTAAAAGAAACCTATAGAATTTTGTACCTAAAATTAATATTGTTTCAATGAATAAGTCAAAATAAAATTGAGGTGTAAAAACTTAAAAATGCAGGGTTAATTCAACCGTTTTTCCACCGCTTTTCTCTATATTAAGGCTATAAATGAAAAAAAAAGTTGAAAACAACGTAAAATATTCAATCGAAAAGTCTATGTCGTCGGGGTAGGGATTAAGTTGATCTCCCTCTTTCTTTGTATTTTTAGCTCTACTGGTCAGAGACCAGAAGAGTTTATGCGATAGTAATGCGTCCAGCGTCCGTCCGTCTGTCTGTTCGTCTGTCTGTCTGTAAACAATTTTTCAAAATGCTACTCCTCGTACAGTTTTGGTCTGATTTCAATATAACTTTGCACACAAGTAGACTACACAAAGTTACACAATGCTGTAAATTAGTTTTTGATTTCGATGAAGGTGTTGCCGTGGTTAGTAAAAATAGAGCTATCTGTGAAATTGTTTCAAAATGCCACTTCTCCTACAGTTTAGGTCTGATTTCAGTACAACCTGGCACACAAATAGACTACACTAAGTTAATTCGATATATTGGTTTTCGATTTTTATGAACGATATTGCCATGGTTACTAAACATAGAACTATCTGTTAAATACTTTGAAAATACTACTCCTCCTACAGTTTTGTTCTGATTTCAATATAATTTTTTTGCAGAAGTAGTCTACACTAAGATACACAATTCTATTTATCATTTTTTGATTTCGATGAACATTATTGCCATGGTTACTAAAGATAGAAATATATGTAAAATACTATCAAAATGCTACCCAAAATACAGTTTTAGTCTGATTATAATACTAGTATCATGTGGCATGCAAGCAGACTACACTAAGAACATAAAGAGACTTAATAAAGGATCATTATTCTATTTATTACTGTTGAAAAGTTTCAATTCCCAACTGCTACTTTTCTCTTCCTTTGCTGTAAGTAAAAACAGTAGAGCTTCATTCTCAACAGAGACTTCTGGTTTCTTCTTTTTTCCCCAAGTCTCCCGCGTGGCGCAGTGGTTAGAGCGTCTGCTCTAGAGTCGCAAAGTAAGGAGTTGATCCTTACGTCACGGGTTCTAATCCCACTGTTGGACGTGGAGACCGGTCCCTCGGATGAGACCGTATAAACCGAGGTCCCGTGTAACAGTAGGTGCCGGCACAAAAAAGATACCTTCCTGCTCAATGGCCCTAAGTGCCGAGTATAGGGCAAAATTTGCAGCTCCCCACCGGCAAGTGGTGACGTCTCCATATGAGTGAAAAATTCTCGAGAGGGACGTTAAACAGTATACAATCAATCAATCAATCTTTTTTCACCCTTTTGAAAGCTGAAATATAACTTTTGACCTCACAGCAACGTAAAGAACCCACATTTTTAACATGTCTTGTTTGCTAATATACCTGTCATGTTAAGATTCAAAGAATATTTCTTAAATTATATTTTTCACTATGTAAAAGTGGAAACAGAATTTGAGAATACAAAACCATATAATATTTTTTATATTGTATGAACAAGTGAAAGTACTAATAATTTATAACACTATAAGTTGTGAATATACTTATATATCGAAATACCTTTATAGTAAGTCTTCTTTGAGTGGCATGTTCGCCATTGAGATCATCCTGACGACGAACCGAAGTACAATTTGTATATACATGTATACACTGTGTAATTAATATGCTTAAGAGAAAATGTCTATTGATTGATTGTATACTGTTTAACGTCCCTCTCCAGAATATTTCACTGATATATAGACGTCACCATTGCCGGTGAAGGGCTGCAAATTTAGGCCTATGCTCGGCACTTACGGCCTTTCAGCAGGGAGGATCTTTATCGTGCCACACCTGCTGTGACACGGGGCCTCGGTTTATACGGTCTCATCCGAAGGACCACCCCATTTAGTCGCCTTTTACGACAAGCAAGGGGGTACTGAAGACCTATTCTAACCCGGATCCCCACGGGGTGAAAATATCTATTAACGAAAATGGTATTTTTTCAAATGAATGAAGTTAGAGTGGGAAAGGTGGACATTTTAAATTTTCTATTAAAAGAAGAGGACATAATGCGCATATTCGTTACTTGATAGAAATGAAACCAAAGTACAATTTACATAGTACAACTGGTAATAAATGAACAGGTATTAAAATGAAGTTCGCGCACCGCTTGATGTAGCGGTAAGAACATCTGCTCTAGAACCTTGGAGTGAGAAGCTTATCCTTACGTTGTGAGTTGGAATCCTCTGCGGGACGTGCAGACCGGTCTTTACGATTAGACCATATAAACTGAGGTCCCTCACTAAAATTTTCAGCCCTTCACCTGCAAGTGGTGGCATCTGCATATGAGGGAGAAAATCTTGAGAGGGATGTTTAACAGCAAACAAATTAAAATGAAGTGGAAAACTTGTAAAGAGAAAATATCAATCAATGATCTTGACAATTTTCTATGTTTTAAAAAATGGCGAATTACTACTTCTACTTGTAAACCAACTGAGGTTTTTTGAACAGTGTATTTTTTCCTGCAGTAAGCCTGTATTTAGCTGTTAGTAGAAATTATAAGTTAAGGTACATTACTAAAGATAGAAAAATTCAATTCCCCGCAATTTTCATCTAGTTGATTTTTAAATTTTGTACAAAAGAGAGGAGTATTGGCCATTTTTAAACGTATTTAATAATAGAAATTTGTATATGTAGAAAATAAAAACGATTTCATCGTAACCCTTGACACTGGCGTGTATTGTTAGGCTAAATTTAAGGTGCGTGTAGGTTGTATCAAAGTCAGCGACTTGATGACGTCACGAAGAAATGTGTTTATTTAATGAGGTTGACGTCCCCAGCATCACGCTTCGAGCTTTACAGTATGACGAGGCAAGGGTAAAATAATTTGTAAAATATTGTTCGGATCTGTGGTAAAATTTATGTTAAGTTGCACAAAGACGTGTCGTGAAAACATATCCCGCGGCCCCAATCTTTGCGTGTGTTTCTCGAATAACGGGACAGAGTTGTTAAAAGAAATGACAATTGTATGTTGTCATATTCTATAATTATTCGACACCTGGGAACGGGATGTATATGAATGGGACTTTGTCTTTGGTCGTCACACACTCAAGAACATTACAACTGGCGGTGCGTGTCGGTCAGCAAATGTGCTGATCTCCATAAAAAATAGGATTATTGAATTTTGATTTGTGTGCATTAGGAAAATTACAAAAAAAAATCACAATTGAGAAAGATGGGGATTTTATTACTTGTAATTTATCTCTGTTCTTCAGCTGTTAATTTTGGTAAGTACATCACTTTGACGCGTTTTCCGTAGTCGTACAATGTCAGCTTAAAAAGTCGGAAGTATTGAAATATTTTTACAAAAATCGGGAATTATAAGAATTTTCGGTAGTTAATGTATATTGACCGGTGGAATTTACGTTGCGATTCCTTTATGAAGTTTTCATTTTTGCATCGTACTTGCACATGTAACTGCACACATGTCTTGTACATTTCTTGTAAAGTAGGGAAAAAAAGGGGGGGGGGGTGATCTTAAAGCTTTTTTTATATGAGAGATCTTTTCAGTACATGTGTAACATAACAATTATCTGTAAATTCTTTTCTCCATTTATAATTTTCAATAAAGAAATCTTTTTTTTTAAGGTAATGCATGCGATGTAGAAGACTGTCAGGAAAAATACGATGAAGTCAATGACGTCATCAACAGGGTTCCAGCGCCAAGATTTGCTTGCAGGTGAGGAATATTATTGTCCACCTCTTTATTGCTTGTCATCATAAAAGGCAATGCTGTGTCTTGAGCGCGTGTATGAACACCCACCGCAAAGACAAGCGAATCGTGATATGTTGTAATGAATGTAATATGTAAATCGTGTTCGGGCAAATCATGCACACGGTCGGGGAACTATAAGTAATTAGAATCAACTTGTTTTGATGTTCAGCATTAAAAAACAACAACAATTTAATCGTTTTGAACATAAAATGTTTAATTTTGTATGTCATTGGTATAAGACAAAGAGATGTAAATTCACTTATTACATACTCAACTCTTCAATATTCTATACATTCTTCATGCAAGAGTGTACATCGTTCAGTTTTGAACTAGCTACATGTATTGTCAATGAATGGAATCTTATGTTATTAAGTATCATCCGTTGATTTTTATTTGTTTTAACTTTGTCTACTTTTTGGTACAAATGAGTAATGTATAGCTAAAAATGCCAAAACTTTCAACATTTAAAAATACACTGTACTTACTTCGAATGATTTCAAATGCTGGGACCTTCAGAATATAAAAATATTTCCTTACGCAAAGATAAATGTCTTTCAATGTTACCTAATTAACATTTAGTTTCAACAGATAAATCAAAGGAATGGTTATATTTGTATTTTAAGAAAAGGTCTTTAAATTTTAATGATGATAATTAGTTGAGAGAGTAATGGACGTTTAACAATACAAAAAGAATACAAATGAATGGTCTTTATGGTGTTCAATAACTTGTACCAATATATTGGTTTTTTTAAAATAAATATGTTTGATAAATATTTAATATGTTGTAATGAATTTAAACAGTACATGTGTATTATGAATATTTAATTCAGAATTTTGACGTTCTGCTTCACTGATTACAAAAAAGTTACAATCCCGAAACAAACATTTTAAATCAACTTTAATTTACTGTTTTGTTAAATTGAAAATATAAAAACTGATGTGTACAGGGTGATGCAATCCAATATTGTTGAAAATAGAGAAAAATGTACGCAGATAAATAAAAAAGACCCCTTTATAAATTAATATAAAGACAGGAGACAAACTCTACGTATGACTCAATCCACCATCTAACTCGGTTCCTAGAGATAGTTCCTGTTACACTGCAAATTTGACAGCGTATGTAAATGCCGCAATTTTTTTGTTTGAATACCACAACGATAGGAGGGTGACATTTATGACCTATTTTATTTTTTCTACGTTTTGAAATTTATGAAGATATATTCTATTTAGAGTATTGATAGTGGATTCTTAGGGGGAAATGATTTTTAAAAAAAAAAAACAACACACGTAAGGGTGTATAGTTAAAATTTCAATGGGTTTACATAACAGTTGAATGGACGATTCTAAAATTTTGCAAAGCGTTTTAAGCTGAGGATCCCCTCCCGATTTTTATTCTGAGCATTTGAAAATCAAAATCACTACATTGTAGAACCAGTGTTTAGTGATAGGAATCGTTCAGGAATTTAAAATTATCCGTTAAAGATGAAGCGTATTACAAATAAAATTTAAAACTTTTGTACTTTATACGGATTGCACTTATATTGCCCAAAAAAGGGGAAAAGGTGGGGGGGGGGGTAACTTGCACTCGTAACTGGTAACAAAATTCTTGTGCCCTCCTCTCATACCCAATGAAATCCACCTCTATATTTTTGTTTTTATTGTGTTTTTGGTAATTATATTAATATGTTACAAGGAAATTGAAACAAAATTTATTTTAGCCCTGCATTTTTTTTTTTTTTGCTTTTCAACAATACCTACCGGATATTTGAAAGGTCGTTTTGCATTGAATGAATTAGATTTTTTGAGTCAGGACACCTTGTAGACAAATTAGTGGTTACTTTTCGGTTTGTCCTGACCATCTGCCTTCTTTTTGTGGTCAGTCAAGAGTCAATTTTGATATTTATATAAATCAAAGTAAACTGTGTTTCCAAAAAAATCGTGACAAAACTCTGGTGTTGTCCTTCTGTTGAAATGAAATGTCCTTCTGTCGGAGAAAAACAAAAAGTATAACTATTCTTAGATTTATTTGAAATTAAAAAAAAATCAGTACTATACTTACATGTAATTAACTGATTGTCTGCAGTATGTTTTGTGGTCTAATTTTCACAGACATGTGTATTTAATTTTTTGTTTTAAATGGATTGGTACACCAAGAATTTCATTAAATATGACAGATAGAATTCATCATTTTTCATAATTGATGGTAACTGGTGAAGTAGAGTCGGTGTCATTGAAATGCGATGTTAATGAGTTGTTTACCCATGTCGTAGAGGAACACTACCACCTTAATGTCTAATGTCGATGTACTGGCCTGATAGGATGAAAGTCGTATTGCATTTTTACTGCCTTAAGGGTAAAGAGAAATTGACACAAGATATTTATTTATTGAAAGAAATGGCCAGCAATTTCTGGAGTCGTTGTTTTACTGAACACTAACCCGCAGAAAGAATTTGTCTATAAAAGAAAAAAAGTTTCTTGACTAGTCTGTTAGTAAATTTTCACCTCGACCTCAAGATAAAACAGAAATAAAACACACACATAGAGAGAGAGAGAGAGAGAGAGAGAGAGAGAGAGAGATGGTTATTAATATTTTTGGAATAGGAACAGAAATAAATCAAGAAACTCTCTGTTCGTCCGTTTGTTTTTCTCAAACCATTGAGCTGCAACAACAGGGAATACTTCCTCCTAAAAACCATATAAAAACGTCGGTGTGAATGTTTGAAGATTGCATTAAAGTAGGGAAAATTTACTGCAAAGTTATAGAGATTTTACTCAAAATACACCCTGAAAAGATATCTTGTGCTTACATTGGACATCTAAGCACGTGGTGTAATAGGAATTTAACATTAACAATTAAATTAGAAATTCGACATCGAACAAAATTTCCTATATGAGCATATATTATACATATGTATTGGTAATTTCTTTGTTGATTTTATAAATCCCTTGATGATATCAATTTCCTTGGTTTATTTTTCCTTTTTTTAAAGTTTAATTCCAATGCGAAAATTATCTTATATGCCGAGTTTTCTTCCCAGAAAAATAACGTAAAGAAGTGAATATTCTGATGTAAATTTCTTAACTCACTTTCAGGGCTCTAAACGAGTACATAGAGTGTCTTGCAGACCAACTAGGCGATTGCTCTATCCCGCATAGATCTGCAATTCAGCATGTAAAGTCCAGGTGGACAAAATATGTGAGCACCTGCAATAGTGTACTGCCCTTTCAGGATGAAGACAGCAGTGAGACCACCGTCACTGTGTCAGTCCAGAACGGCGTGGACGAGGTCCGAAACCAGTTAAACGGTGTTATGTTATTACCACAGCCTGTACAGTCTACTTTTATGCAGAAATTAGTGAGCGACCAACCGCTAACTCAAGACAGAGTTCTTGGAAACTTAGCCGGTAGAACAGGTGTACTAAATAACATAAAGGAAATTGTTAAAGAAACCGTTGATGAAGTTATTGATAGTTCCAGGGAAATTCCAGACCGTGTTGACGATGTTATTGAAAACGTTCGTGATATGGTCATTTCTAAAATTAATAGTGCTCATCCCATCATTCAACAACTCGCTGACAAAATAGAGGATAAGATAGACGAACATGAGGATAATTCACATGAAGATGATGACAAACTAAGCAGGGAAGTAGACAACACCCAAAGCGAAGAAGATTTGATTGAAAATTCGGAGAACAACAGTGTTGAGGAAACTTTCGACGACATTGTTGACTTTCTGAACGATCACCTCTCGGCAGATGATGGACATATCCAAACCGATTTAGAGGATGTTGACAGTAATGAGATAGAGGACAGTCGTGAAGGTAAGCAAAAATTGATTATATTATTGCTCTGTCTAAATCAAACAGGAGAAAAACAAAAGAAGTCAAGTACCCCTAGCCAAAAATTTAATTATTGCATTATATGACCTTTGTTTGAAAAATCCATCAAAGATAGTTAAGATGTTACACTTACCTAGAACGTGATATTAATATGAGACTATTTATTTTAGACACTGTAGACGATATTGATGATAGCAATGATGTAAGTAAGGATAAAGATAACTCAAAGGACCATGACAATGAAAGTAATGAAGAAAACACTAGCATCAGCGCCACCGAAGATATCGATGATTCAGGAGAAGATGGCGACAGTAATGAAAACGATGATCTTGAGGTTTCACTCGATACAGACAACAATAGCGATTTACTCGATGATATTGAAATTGATACCTCGGATGAAAATATCCTAGCCACTGATGATTCAGATGAAAACGAAATCTCTCTTATCAAATTAAACAGTCAAAACGACGATTCAAACGAAAATGATGATAGTGAGGATCTTGACAGTAACGGCGATGACTCGCATGAACATTCCGAAGAACATAATGTTGAACATGACGATAGCAACGAAATTGACATTCTAGACAGTCACCGGATTGTTGATGACAGTGATGAAAACGACAATCAAGACAGCAATGCAGATGTTAGCGATGAAAATGACAGCGATGAATACGACAATCATGAACACAATGATGATAGTAATGAACATGATGATAATAGTGAAAACGACAACAGTGATGAAAATAACGACAGTCATGAACACGGTGATAGCCAGGATGATTCACATGAACACAGCGAAAACCAAGATGATTCTCATGAACACGGACATAGCTCAGAAGGACACAGCCAACTAACAGTTCTTACAGGTGACGTTTTATAAAGTAATCTTATGGTTAACAAGGAATGTCTTTGCATAATGACATAGTTAAAAATAGCAACAGAATGCCCATTTAGTTGCAAAAAGATGTCTCATTAGCAGAAATATGTAAATACAAAACTTGATGAAAAACTCTCCCTTGATGTATGCAAACACTAGACTTGCAGATTTTATGCACAAACTTGCAATTTAATTATAGTGAGAAGATTCACATATTGAATCTTTACAAACGATAAAGTAGCTTGATTGGAAATCAACAAATGGGTCAAGAATACATTTCATTTATGAAATTTTATTTCAATTTCAGATCCATCCACGGGCACAGCAAATAAGGAGGGTAATTCCCGGCGTAGGTCTGGTACCGGAGTGGGCGGGGTCCATCAGTACAGTTCACTAGGAGGAGGTGAGTAATCAATTTTAAACAATGACCCCCCAAAAAACTTACGCCCCTCCTAATATTACATTTAAACGTTTTTAAAAAGGCTTAAGTATAAAGAAAATTTCTTATGATTTAAACATAAGTATCTCAGAGCATTCATCAACAATTATTAATGAGATTGTCTTAAGTAAAGAAAATAATACATTTTTGATTTAATGAGAAAACAAGCTTTCTCCTAATGATATTAAATCATGCAAATTCATAACATTTATTGTATAACATTATTGTGCAATTTACATATATATTGAAACACTGTCCATTGTTTTAAAGACAGATTACAATAAAATTTAAGACGACTTAACAAAGGGTGAGGTATTTTAAGAACCAAAAAATATTTTTTTGTTTACTGAATGACGTAAATGCTTCACTTCAAGTGCATTTTGATAGCATATCATATGGATTGCGCATGATCAAATTTAATATGCATGATTTAGAAGGGTATGAATATCGATGCAAGAGATGGATATATTTGCAAAAATATTGAAACTATAAGATGCAGTGCCAAAAGGGGGGAGCGAAATTTAGTATTATGTTTTAGGAAATGAATGGTTGATATTTGCAGAATGATAGGCATGTGCGAGATAAAATGAAATTGGCGTAAATTACTATTTTTGACTTGTATGATTTAAAATGTCTGTAAATACTGCTTGAATAATGAAAATGGAAAAGGGGGAGGGGCGAATTTCAGTATTCTGATAATTGGAATTGTATTGAAAATTACAAGATAAGAACGAAAATTGGGTGAAGTATCGTTTTAAAAATATTGAATTTACCTGGAGGAGGTAATTACAAAATTTACATTATTACTCATAGAATAAAAAAACACCATTAACTGCATTGCCTGTTTGACTAAGCTTTCTTTCATTTACTTCCAGACGACAGCTCCGGGTCATTCATTGCGCCGTGGACGACACTTCTTCTCATTTGTGTTGCCTTGGTGATGTAAACAAGACATTTTCCACCCCAAATCTTCCATTCATTGTGCCATATTGCAGGAGAAAGTGATGACCATTTATGGAGATGTTTTATGTATTATTTAATGTATTTGTATTCGACTGTCTTTTGATGTGATTGGTGCTACTATTTGGACAAATGCTTTACGTCTTCTGTTTTTATAGTTTTGTTATAAAATATTTGAATAAAATTAATTTTTATCTTTTTTTATCTTTTCTTTCATGTATTTTTTTTAATTTTTAAATACTTAATAACAAAATTTTCTTTACCTTTGTATATAATTTTGGCATGTTAAGGACAGATGATACAAACAAACTTTTATCAAAGAATTTGAAAATAATAACCTGGGTCATGTTTAAATTAGTAAAATGAATAACTTTCACCACGTAGTTTTTAATTTTTTATTCAAATTTTCACAAAAATGGAATTTGAAGTGAAAAATATTTTTTATAGATTAATATTAAGGATGGTTTCAGAAGGACAGGTTTTTGAGCATCACAGAAGGTTTACAATTTCTTTATATTCTAGAAAGAACTATATGCGGTATATTGCATATGTTTGCCCCCACAAAAGTCAAATTTTGAAAACTTCCTGAAATGTGCTGAATTCAATAAATTGTACGAGAAATATAAGTTAACAGAAAATATTATAGTTCCAGAGCAGTGTATTCACAATTTCTGTTTTTATGACGTCACAAACTAGTCCGATTTTATATCCTTTTTCAGAAAGAGGACAAAATGGACAAAATTTCAACAATTTAAGCTTTAGAATTTATAGAGCGCATGTGTGTTCAGGAACAATATTGACATATTTCATTGATATTATCATTCAACACATTATATCAAAATATTAATCCTGAACACACATGCGCTCGGTGACTTTCATTTAAAATATCGACGAAATATGTACATTTTTCTGCAAAATTCATAAAAAACTGAAATTTACGTCATATTTGTGACGTCATTACGTACATATGACGTCATTACTTATGAAATTATTCAGTGCTTTGAAGTCAGCATATACTCCCCTGTTTAAGGACTTAATTAAATATTACTCCATCAAAGTTTGATTTTGGGGGGCAAATGTTGGTTAATACCGCATATAGTTCTTTATTATTTGCATCATTTGCAATGAAATTAGGCCATGAAATATATACCAATCCAGGCATCCATTTTTTGTTTGTATCATCTGTCCTTAAAAGGTGTTGAGAGCACTAATGAAGTTTTACTGTCCCTTTTTCTCAAGCCAAAATGAATAAATAAAGGTCTTGGGACTATTTTTTTGATATCAAAATATTTGTTTGGTGTACATTTTAAGTTGATGTGAATCATTGCGAAATTTAAAGCCTTGCCCTCTTTATCAAAGACAAGATAAATAAAATTGAAATGTAATTTGTGAACATGCATAAAAAGATGAACAGTTCAGCAAAATTAAAATTGATAATCATGCAGTTGATGGTATGGAATATTTGCTAACAGGCATGTACTTTTTAAGAAAAATGACACTTATGTCTCGATTTACTTGTGGAGAGTTGAATTGATGCTAGCTGAAATTAATTCTTAGTCTTCTCGAAACTCAGAGACAACGATTTGAGGAGATAAAGAATAACACAAAAATTTCAAACAAATGTCTTTATTTATGGACATAAATCATTTAAAATTTTTGTACACCAAATAATTAATTACGTAATGATAATAGTGGGTACATTAGTATGTACGATAGACTCATATATACCTCTAATATATAGGGTCTTAATGTTGTCTATTCATATTTGACGCTAAAATAAAAGCATACTAGATTATTTACTGTATAAAAAGGATTTGTTTGGTTTTGCGAAGTGGCAATTTCCCGAAACCTACGCGTGCAGTTGACGTCAAATAGAATTAACTTTGGACTGTCGTACAATAACTTACTCAAAACATGACAAGTTTCAGATACGACGTGTGAACTACTGTGAAGTATAAAAATGAAATATCAAGAATTATGCAATACATTGTTTCAGGTTAGAGTAAAATCAGTATATAACCTCTGCAGAAATACAAATTAACACGTCTGGAATTTTGAAGTCATCAGCCTTCTTAATAAGTTTGTCATATTTTCAAATAATGTACCATTAAACCTTTGATGAATCTCCTGCTTTACACCTTGACATTAATCGGGAGGAGAAGGCACAGACCAATAGATGTTTTAGACGAGAGAAAAAAAAAAGATCATCTATTCACAAAAAATCTTACGACTAATCGTAGTCGTAAGACGGTCGTTAGATTTTTTCGTAAGATTTTGGTTATTCACAAAAAATCGCACGATTGACGTTACGTCAAAAAACAGTCGTAAGTTTACGTCTAGTCTTGGGTTGTCGTAAGTCTATAAATACTACATGAAATATCAACTCTAAAAATAAAATTAGCCACTGCGTTTACTTTATCATAAAATATAAACAAAACGGAGCGGGGACTACTAGTAATATTTGGGTCAGCGCACATCTGTTTGAATCATTGACCAAAAGAAAAATGATGCCGTTTGCCGAGGAAGTAAAAAAGGGATGTCTACCATGAAACTATATTATTAATGCAAAAAATATGAATATAAAGAGATAAAGAAAAGGGGAAAAAATGCCTTCAACAAAATGGTTATGCGTAAATAATTTTAAATTTTTAAAATTTTAAGGGGAGGGGTAGAGAATTAAATTCTCTTTTCAGCAAAAATATTTTAAATGATACTTTTATCAGAGTAGTTTGCTAAAAGTTAGTTTTATCAAAGTAGGGGATAATCGCTGGCCTTAAATGAAAAAAAAAAACAAAACAATATTCAGAAAAGGTGCACTACATGCCTAAGTTATCAACATTATCGCAACCTGGTAATCTTGCAGGTGAATAAAAAAAAAACGTGCTGGAACAATTTTCATGAATTCCAATGTAAAATGGGGTTTAATATTCATCTATTAATTGTATTAACTTTAAAAGAATTTTTGAACCCGTCACTTTGTTATTCAAGAATATGTAATAAAAAAGATATACGACGCCTGCAAATACTAGCTACAAGAGAAAAGCATTGTACTTGTTTTTAAATATCAGGGGGGAAATTGCACTATATAATTAACTTTGACGAGACAAGATATACTAGTATACAGTCAATATCGATTATAAAATTATTTCACTTCTGTTTCAAATTAAATAAAAAAAACTTTACGTTTATTTTATAGCCTCGAATCGAATGTGTTTTCTTTCGCTTCTCATCAAATTTGAATAATATACTTTAGAACTATATTCATTTTTGTTATATACAACTTTTAATTTTATGTTGCCTTCAGTTATTTGTGATGGTTAACTGACTTTGAACACATCTTCACCATTTTCTCAATCGGCTGCGCACTCTGCACCTATCAAAATTTTCCGTCCATGCATGATGGATACAATCAAGTTGTACGCCGGTGTAACGACGAAAAGTGACCCCCGTAGAATGTTGACCCCGGATCAATATTCTACGACAAGTAGGGTCATTTTTCGACTGTAGAAAAACATTCCAGACCAGTAATTCTACGACTCCACACACGTTGAAAAATGACCCCCATAGAAATTTGACCCCCTACTTTTATATACTATAAAACCTCATATCTGTGTCTCTTGATATTTTTTCATACGCAAATAAAAGTAGGGGGATTTTTTTTTTGTACTTTAATCTTTTCCAAAATATATTTGATTGCATATCTTAATAGTAGCATCACAATCAATGTATCTGGTATGAATTTATTTTTGGCTTGCAGAATCCCAGTGAAAACTTTCATTTCACTTTCACAGCCGAAAAACCTACGACTTTTCAAGTTTATACATAACCATTTCCCACGATAAATTAAAGTCCAGGTTTTTTTTTATATCATTGACAGGTGCTTTTTCAATAGAAATGTAACTCGTAAATTTACTTACGTGATTATTAGTCATTTGCAAAATTAATTTGTTAAAGCACATTCCGAGTGCACACACAAGTACTCTGAAGTTGATATCAAAAAGATGTGTGAGTTTGTGATTGACAATATCTATGTGGTTTTTGGAGACCAGGTCTTTCAACAATCGATTGGAATTCCCATAGGTACCAATTGCGCTCCGTTATTAGCAGACCTATTTTTATATTCATATGAAGCAGAATTCGTGCAAAATCTTATGCGTGAAAAGTAGAAAACACTTGCTGTGGCCTTCAACTTGACATTTAGATATATCGACGACATATTGTCAATTAACCATGGTAATTTCCATTCCTACGTCGATACGATATATCTGGTGAGTTTGAGATAAGAGATACCACAGAGTCTGACACATCTTTTTCTTGGATATTTTACTTGAAAAAGACGCTACTGGTAATATAACAACCAAGCTATATGATAAACGTGATGACTTTTTTCTATCGTCAACCTCCCTTACTCAGCAATATACCTTCATCACCAGCATACGGAGTTTATTTATCTCAGTTGATTCGATACGCAAGAGCATGCTATACATGTACCTACGTACATGTATGAACAACTTCTAAAACGAGGTAAATTATTGACAAGCAAGTAGATGAAACAAGAATATCAGCAGTTTCGCTTAAAGTCATCATTTCGTAAGTTTTATGGTCGATACAATGACTTTGTCAGCAAATACAATTTATCATTAAGTTAAATGCTGACTGATGTTTTTCATACTAATTGTTAGTCCATTATTTGCACACTGAATTGACGACGGATTTTTCGTTATTTCCCAATCATGACAAGGAGCACACGGCGGGTGTGACCGGTCAGCAGGGGATAGTCACTCCTCCATCGCACCTGATATTTCGGAGGTCTGTGTTTGCTCTGCTCCTATTTTGTATTGTTTTATAGAATTTGATATTGAATACTGTTCGTGATCTCCATATCCTTCTTCATTGAGGAGCATAAATTTATGGTTACATTTTAGGGTGTTTTTTATCACTCAAAGGTTTTGTTCCGAAAACGGCATGAGATATTTCTGAAAACCATAAACTTTGAAAAAAAATTTAAAGTCCAGAAACATAGCATAGAAGTAAGAAAAGCAAATAATTTAATTATATAATTCAATTCCCTTAGCTCTTACCTTTAAACTTACAGATACATCTTATGCATTTTGTTTTAAAATACATAATTTTTAAAGGTACTTGGACACAGATTTGAAGTCAATATTTTTTCTATAATATTACGACATATATATTTTAA